AAACAAAACAAAAAACAAAAAACACACGCAGCGAATCCAACACCCTTTCCAGCCAACCCCTATGGCCACCACGCCCAACTTTACGACGAAGCGCGGGGCGAGAGAGAGTGTCATCTCCTCCTTTTTAATAGCGCTGTTCCTCCTGCTCTTTTACGGGTTCCCAAATTGCAAGTTCTTGAAGAAAAGCGCCCGCCGCCATCATACTTCGGAGGGGGGGGTGGGGGGGAGAGGGCAAGTGTGAGGGTTATCATAGCGAGATAAGAGGATGTGTTGCTAAGGGGATGGGCGGAGGGGGGAGGGGGAGGGTAGGGGAGAGGGAGGGAGGGGAGGGGAGAGGGGGAGTGGAGGGAAGGGGAGTGGAGGGAAGGAGGGGGAAGGGAGGGAAGGGGAGAGGGGAGGGGGGAGGAGGGGTTTTAATGGGTGTCAGGGAAATATGTGGAAGGCGATTGTCGTTCGCAATTTGAGGGATAAAGTGGTGTTTTTTTTGTTTTGTTTTGCTTTTGTTGTTTTTTTCGTTGAAGAGTGAAGCTGGTGAGGGGCTGTGGGCTGGCTTTTGCATTGGTAGGGATGATAATTTGCTTTGAAGTTATAATGCCTGTAATTTAGTTTGTTCTATTTTTTTCAAGATTAGAGTTGTCAGAAATTTACAAATAAGCATACATATATAAATAAACACAAACACACACACACGTTTCATATATATATATATATATATATATATATATATATATATATATATATATATATATATATATGTATATATATATATATATATATATTGCAAGTAGAAGGGAATATATATATGTGTGTGTGTGTGTGTGTGTGTGTGTGTGTGTGTGTGAGTGTGAGTGTGTGTCTAGATAGGCAGACAGCTATATTTTACCTCCCCCCCCCCCCCCAGATGATCGAGCTGTCGGTGCTGGAGCCCCCTCGCGTGGACGTCCAGCCCCGCAGGAAGATCGTGCGCAACGGCGGCTCCATCGTGCGCCTCAACTGCACGGCCACGGGCGTCCCTCTGCCGGAGGTGAGCTGGCACAAGGACGGGCGGCCGATCCCGAGGACAGGCCGCCACACCGTCATCACGCAAGTCAGCGAGACGAGGACGCTCACCCGACAGCAGCTGGCCATCAGCAATATCATGGCCAATGACAGTGTGAGTTGGGAGGGGGAAGTGGTGGGCGGAGGAGGAGGAGGAGGTGGGGGAGGAGGAGGAGGTGGGGGAGGAGGAGGAGGAGGTGGGGGAGGAGGAGGAGGAGGTGGGGGAGGAGGAGGAGGAGGTGGGGGAGGAGGAGGAGGAGGGGTTTAGGAGGAGGAGGACGAAGACAAAGACGAGGAGAAAGAGAAGGAAGAGGAGGAGGAGAAGGAGGAGGACAAGGAGAAGGAGGAGGAGGAGGAGGACGAGCAGAAGGAGGAGGAGGAGAAGGAGGAGGACGAGGAGAAGGAGGAGGAGGAGGAGGACGAGCAGAAGGAGGAGGAGGAGAAGGAGGAGGAGGAGGAGGACGAGCAGAAGGAGGAGGAGGAGAAGGAGGAGGACGAGGAGAAGGAGGAGGAGGAGGAGGACGAGCAGAAGGAGGAGGAGGAGAAGGAGGAGGAGGAGGAGGACGAGCAGAAGGAGGAGAAGGAGGAGTGAGGTCGCCGTCGTCCGAGGTTGGGGCGTTTGCTGATTGCTTTGTCTTTGTTTTGTTTTTCCTTCTCCTTCTCTTCTTTGTGTGTTTTATTTTCATTGGTTCATCTCTTTCATCTTCGTCCATCACTTTTTTTTCTCTTCTTCTTCTTCTTCTTCTTCTTCTTCCTCTTCTTCTACATCTTCGCTTTCCGTTCTTCATCATCATCATCTTCTTCTTCTTCTTTCTATTCTTCTCCTTCTTCCCTTTATATTCTGTGTATTCTTTTTTTCCTCTACTTCTACACATTTCCTTTCTCTCTTCCCCTTTCTTCTTCGCCTTCGCTCTCTCTGTCATTTCTTTTACTTATTTTCTACTAAATGAAAATGAATATCTCTGTCCCTTTCAAAAACCTGTTCAAGCTTCGGATTTTTAAGGTCGGTTATTTTACTAATGAATAAATGATTAATAAAGTGTTATTTACAGTCTCTTATTACTAGCAGAAGACTATTGTTTTTAGGATAAAAACACTGACTATCCTTCTCCTCCTCCTCCTCCTCCCTCCTCTCTTCTCCTCCTCGCTCCTCTTCTGCTTCTTCTTTTCTTCTTCCTCCGCCTTCCCCTCCTCCACCTCCTCCCTCCTGCCTCCTTACTCCTCCTTCTCCTACTCCTCCTCCTCCTCCTCTCTCCTCCTCCTCTACTCTCCTCCTCCTCCTCCTCCTCTCCTCCTCCTCCTCCTCCTCCTCCTCCTCCTCCTCCTCCTCCCCTCCCCCTCCCCCCCCACACTATCTTCATCCCATGGCCCCCCCCCCCAACACTACCATCACCCCCACCATTCATTCTCACCCCCAACATCCCATCACCACCCCCCACCCCCAACACATCCCCAACACCCCCCCATCCCCAACACATCACCATCCTCCCCCCCCACCCCCCCACACACCACCATCCCCCCTCCCCCAACACCTCCCCACCCCCCCATCCCCAACACACACCCATCCCCCCCGCGCCATACCCCCAATACACCATCATCCCCCCATCCCCCCCTACGCCCACCTCCACCCCCCCTCTAATCACCCCCCCTCCCCTTCTCCCCCCGCAGGGCATCTTCCAGTGCATCGTGAAGAACCGCGTGGGCGTGGCCTCCGAAGCCGCCCTCCTCAAGGTCGACCTTCCCGACGACATGCCCGGGGCGCCGCTGAACCTGAGGGTGACCCGCACGACCTCCTCCAGCATCGAGGTCAAGTGGGACCCCCCGCCCGCGCCCCCCGGGAAGGAGGGCAGGAGGGAGAGGGAGAGTCAGGGCTACGTCCTCCACTACTTCCAGATGAGTGAGTGTTCTTAGGGTGGGGGGGAGGGGGGGCGGAGGGACAGAGGAGGGAGGGGGACGGATGGGCGGAGGTGGGAAGGGGGGGGAGGGCGGAAGGGTGGAGGGCAGAGAGGGGGAGGGGGGAAGGGGTGGCTCGGCTGTGATGATTGGTTCGTATTTTTTTTGTTTTTTTTTGGGGGGGGTGCAGTGTTACTATTTTATTTATTGTTTTGTTTTTTATGGTTTTATCCTTTTTATTAGTGGTAAAAGGGTTATTGTTATCATTGTTGTTGCTTTTGTTTTCATTATTATCACTACTATTACTATTTTTAATGTTATAATTGTTTTTATTGTTATTATTATTATTATTATCATTATCATTATTATTATTATAATGCTATTATTATTATTATTATTATTATTATGATGTTATTATCATTATTATTATTATGTTATTATCATCATTATCATTACTGCTATTATTATAATAATAATTAATATTATTATTGTTATTTTCCTCTTTATTGTTACTATTTATAGCATTCTCTCTCATCATTCTAATAAGTAATAGTTCTAATATTACCATTTTTATTATTATCCTTATTATGCATTAGTAATGTCATTAGCCTTTGGATAATTACCGCTTTTATTTATATATTATTACCAGCATTATTGTTACTATCATTATTATCATTATCAGTGAAAAAGATATCGTGATGATTAATGATTATTATTGTTGCCTTTGTCATTTATTTTTTTATTAATGTCTTTGTGGATAGTTTTATGTTAATGATATTAATGTTTTTTTTTCCTGATTGAAATAATAATCATGTCTGTTGCAATACTGTTTCATGGGTGGATTGTTATTGTTGATTAATTGATAGAGGTAATAATGTTGTTTTTTCTCTCTCTTTCTCTCTCCGTCTCCTTCTCTTCCTCTCTCTCTCTCTCTCTCTCTCTCTCTCTCTCTCTCTCTCTCTCTCTCTCTCTCTCTCTCTCTCTCTCTCTCTCTCTCTCTCTCTCTCTCTCTCACCCTCTCACGTCCTCTTTTCATCCCTTCTTTCCATCTTCCTCTCTCTTCTTCACCCTCCACCCCCTCCCTTATCCACCCTTACCCCCTCCCATCCACCCCTCTTCCACCTTCCACCCTTCTTCCACCTTCCACCCCCCCACCCCCCCACCAGACGACCGCGGCCCCGAGAAGCAGTGCGTGACCAACATCACCAGTTACGAGATCCTGAAGCTGACTCCCTACACTCTCTACTCGATCTACGTGCGCACTTTCGTCATCTATCAGGAGCAGCAGAACCACCTGATTGGGGAACCGTCGGCTACGCTGGTGGTGCGCACGAAAGCAAACCGTGAGTCACTTGTTTTTTTGGAGGTTTTCGTTGTTGGTGTTGATTTTTGTTTTTGTTTTAGTTTTTGTGTGTGTGTATATTTTTTTTAGGTGCGAACGAAGGCCAACCGTAGGTCACTTGTTTTTTGTTTTGTTTTTTGTTGTTGTTGTTGTTGTTTTTATTTTGTTTTTGTTTTTGTTTTATTTTTTTTTGTGTATATTTTTTGGTGCGAACTTCTTCTTCTTTGTCTTTTCTTTACTCTTCTTTTTTTAGGGGGGGGGGGCACTGATTTCGATTTTTTGGCGGAATTTGTTTTCCTTTAACCGTTTTAGGTGTTTATGAGTTTTCTCTGTTGGGTTTTCTCTCTCTTCCGATTTCCTTTTCATTTATTGTTCGCTGTATTTCATATGTTTTTATATTCTGTTTCTGTGTTAGATTTGTGTTTTTGTGTGTGTGTCTCTCCTCTCTCTCTCGTTTATCTCTTTTCTCTCTTTAATCCCTCTCCCTCTCTCTCTCTCTCTCTTTCTCTTCTCTCTCTCTCTCTCTCTCTCTCCTCTCTCTCTCTCTCTCCTCTCTCTCTCTCTCTCTCTCTCTCTCTCTCTCCTTTTTCTCCCTCTCTCTGTCTCTCTCTCCCTCCCTCTCTCCTTTCTCTTCCCCTTTCTGAATTCACTTGACATTCCCCTCTCTGCTCTCGCAATCGCTCTCTCTCTCCCCTCCCTCTTCCCTCTTGGCCTCGCTTTTCCCCTCACGTTTCTCTTTCCCCTCTTCTCTTACTTATTTTTATCCTCTGTTTTCTCCTCTCTATCTCTCTTCACCTCATTTTTCTTACTGTCTGTTCTTTCTCCTCTTTTCTTTTACTTCGCTTTTCCCCCTCACATTCCTCAAACGCTTTCTCTTACACGTCTCTTGAGTTTCTTCATTTTCCTCTTACTCTCCTCACTCTCACTCGCCATTTTCCCCTCATTTTCATTCCACTCATACCTCATTCAGTCTTTCTCTCCCCTTCCCTCTCTCTCTCTCACCTTTTTCTCTCCTCTCACATCTCTCTCTCTCCCCATTCTTCTCTCGTCCTCGCTCTATCCCTAAGCTTCATCGCTTTTCCTTTATTTTCACCCTTAGTCTCCCCTCTCACCCACCCTACTCACCCCCAGCCTCTCACCCTCACCCCTTCCCTCTCCCCTCTCTTCTCCCCCATTCACCCCTCTCCCCTTACCCCCACCCACACTCTCACCCCACCCTCTCCCCTCCCCTCACTCACCCATCTCACTCTCCCCCTCTCTCTCTCTCTCTCTCTCTCTCTCTCCCCCCATTCACCCCACCCCTCCTCCCCCTTCCCTCTCCCCTCTCACCCCCTCCCCATTCACCCCTCACCCCTTCCCCCTCTCCCCTCACTCACCCATCTCACTCACTCTCTCTCTCCCCTCTCTCCCCCACCCCCATTCACCCCACCCTTCCCCCTCTCCCCTCACTCACCCATCTCACTCACTCATCTCTCTTCTCTCCCTCTCTCCCCTCCCCCCCGTCAGGTCCATCCAGCACCCCGAGCATCGAGCTCCACCCGGTGTCCCCGACGACGCTGCGGGTGACCTGGACGCCCCTGAGCCTGAAGGAGGCGCGAGGGGCGGTGGTGAAGCAGAAGATCCAGTGGAGGAGGTGGAGGATGCACTTCCACGAGAATGCGGAGCTGGCGGCCGAGGACGTGGAGTTCGAGATTCGAGGTAAGGAGGGGGGGGGGGGGTGAGGGGGGAGGGAGGGTTTTAAGTGAGGAGGAGGGGGAGGAGGGAGGGAGGGGAGGAGGGAGGGAGGAGGGAGGGAGGGAAAGATTGGGATGATATATAAATGTATGTATAAATGTGTATGTATGTACGTATGTAGAGATAGATAGATAGATAAATAGAGAATTTCTAATCCAGTTTTTTTTTATTAATTCCTTTTTCCCCTCTTCCCTTTCCTTCGACCCCCTCCCCTCCCCTACTCTCACTCCCCCCTTTCCTCCTTCCTCCTCCCCCTCCTCCCCCCCTCCCTCCCTCTCTCCCCCTTCCCTTCCTCCTCCATCCATCCTCCTCCATCCATCCCCTCTCCCTCCCTCCCTCTCCCTTCCCTTCCCTCCCCCCTCCCTCCCTCTCCCTCCCCCCTCCCTCCCTCCCTCTCCCTCCCTCTCTCCCTTCCCTCCCCCTCCCTCCCTTTCCCCCTTCCCCCTCCCTCTCCCTCCCAGACCTCCGGCCGAACAAGCGCTACGAGGTGCGCGTGCTCGTGGCCACCGAGTCGGGTTATCCTGAACACGAGTCGAACCTCCAGTGGACGCACATCCGCATGCCCAGCGACGCCGACCTCAGCACGAAGCCCATCGTCCATCTCAGCGTCTACAGCGAGACGCCCGACGCCATCCAGGTGAGAGGGGGGGAGGGGGACGGGGAAGGGGAGGGGAGGGAAGGGCGTGGAGAGATTTTTTTTTTTTTTTTTTTTTTTGAGGGGGGGTTGGGGAGGGAGAGGTTGGGGGAGGAGGGAAGGAGGGATTGAGATGAGGGAAATGAGAGAGAGAAAGGGGGGGGGGAGGGAGGGAGAGAGAGAGAGAGAGAGAGAGAGAGAGAGAGAGAGAGAGAGAGAGAGAGAGAGAGAGAGAGAAACAGACAGACAAAGCGAGAGAGACAGAGACAGACAGGCAAACAGACAGACAGAACAATGAGATATCTTTCTTTCTTCTGAATCTAAGTGTAAAATTATTAGGCCTGTGATAATTTCACAATAAACGCAGGACTAAGAGACAAAACGCTAAAGATACTCAAAGCATCACAAGCAACAGATACGTACGCGTGTGTTTTAAACTTTCCCCCATGCGTGTATTCCCCGTGTCTGTCTGTCTGCCTGTAGGTCTGAGTGCATGTTTGTTTCTGCTTGAGTCTGCATGACCCAGCGCCTCATCTCTTCATCTCCTATGCATGGGAGTCGTCATCGGAAGTGCCTCATTTCTCATTCCATTTGTTTTCGGTAGACTTATAGAAAAAAAAAATGTCATTGTCGGAGATGGCACTGGACTGAAATTAAAGATAGCATTGAAGCTGGAACTCAAGATAGAATTGAAAGATAGAATTGAAAGAGCTGGAACTAAAGGCTGGAACTACAGCTAGAGTTGAAGAGAGAATTGAATATAGAAATAGAGAGAATTGAAAATATAATTAGAGAGAATTGAAGACAGATTTAAAGGCGGGTTGTTTGCATCACTGTGTTTTATGACTTGCTGTTTGAG